ATGAATGTACTTTTGATAGTACCTACTTTGCATTTTACGTCTGTTCATCCGAAATTGGTTTGGGATACACTCAAAAATTTCCTACTTCAATGCCTTTTAGTTGTATAGCACCTAAGAATCTGGGCTGAATTTGATTTGAGATTGTCTCTACGTCTGCTTTGCTCTTATGAAAATCAAGAACGTTGGAACTTGACTTTTTTCGTTTGTATAAATGTGAGTTTGTTAGAAGATGATAATACCTCTTTATATCCGACACGACGTCATCTTCGTCAGAGAACAGCGTATGATTTTATATCAAATAATTAACTCAGGGTTTTTATGAGAAGGGACATATTTATCTCTAAATTCTCCTGAAAGTCTGTACTTATCTCAGAAGTGATTGCAACAATTCCGTTCCTTTCTTGTTTTGATTTTTGTCCTGTCAACCTTACGGGAGTTTCTTCTCAGGTAACCATGTCGGGCGGATTCGAACCGTTCGCCCTTTCTGAAGATGATGTGCTGAAGCTGATCGCCACTCAAGCACACATTGGATCTGCAAATGTTGATTTCCAAATGGAGCAATACGTCTATCAGCGGCGCTTTGATGGTATTTTCTTATTAATTTTCGTTTTTCTAATTTACTAACTGAATTTTTTGTATTTATTATCCATCATCTTCAGGAACTTACATTATCAATTTGAAAAAGACATGGGAGAAGCTGCTTTTGGCTGCTCGTGCTATTGCTGCTGTTGAGAATCCCGCTGATGTCGTTGTGGTCTCTGCTCGACCATACGCTCAGAGGGCCCTCCTCAAATTCGCCGCTCACACTGGCGCTACTGCTATTTTTGGACGTTTCAGTCCTGGATGTCTCACAAATCAGATCCAAAAGACTTTCAAAGAGCCACGTCTTCTGGTTATTTCTGATCCTCGTGTTGATCATCAGGTGAGCAGTTTTAATTTTTGATTGACTTCTGCGTTCAAGGATGGCTTACATCCTACTTTTTCGCTTATTTTTGTTTTTTTTT